AGGAAAACCCTTAACTGTCAGCATTGTGCATTAAGCACCATTGAAAGGTAGGTGCAGTACTATTGTACGTTCTTACAGATGGAACTAAGCTTATATAGATATAGATATTGTATAGAATGGATATTATAGTTATTATATAGATATTATATAGAAGTGTTGATCTACAGTTCTACAGCTAGATCTATTGGGGTTATGTATGTGATGCAAAGGGATTCGCTGTTGATGGATTGTATAGCATAGCTGGTGGCAGGATAATATCGAATGTCATTTACTCATGTAACCATTAAGTAATTCAGAACATGTAACTAGAGCGTGTATTAGGCAGTCTGGAATGCCCGCTTGCAATGTTCTTGTTTGTTTCACTTGCACTTGCAAGCACGACACACACACACACACATAGAGGGAGATTACACACTGGGAGGCAATGCTAGCAGCCCCCATAAGCACACGCACACTCACACACATAGATAGAGCCCGGGAGAGTCGCTGCCACACATCGGCGGCGGTCGTCGCTTTGTAGTCGTCGTCAGCGTTGCTGCTCGCTGTTGTTGTTGTTGCTGTTGCTGCTGTTGTTGCTGCTGTTGTTTGTGGTCGAACGCATTGCTGCGGCGCTCGTGTATTTTCAGTTTCGGTCTCAGTCTCAGTCTCAGTCTCCTTGGGCTTGTGCAACCGTGAAAATGTGCGCCGCGTCGCGTCTGTTGTGGAAAAATATGAAAAGTTTCTGAAATGTATATATAAAAAACCATATATAATATGTGTGCGTGTATGATTATATGTTGATTATGTGTATAGAAATGTTGCTTTCGATAACAAATAATTTGTTGTGCAAAATGATAATTTCGTTAACGGACGCCCGAAGCAAAAAGAAAGAAAAGAAAAGGAAAATTGAACGCAACATTTGAAGTGTCTGCGTGTGTGTGGGCGGGCAGCATGCCAAATATATTTGTTCAATTTATGAATTACATACACACATATACAAAGCATACATGTATGTGTGTATGTGTATAACTGTGCTTCAGTCTGTGTCTCTGATTAACGAAAAAAAAGCATGAAGCTAACCATCTTATCTGCGTGCAATGCCGGTTGACAAGTGACTGTGTGACTACTGTATATATAAAGAGTATATATATATGTATAATTATGGCATATATAAAGTGTATATGAAATGAATATGAGTTTTCAGCAATTGGAAATGAGATCATCCACAGCCATGGAACGAATCGAATGCTGAAATGCGTTTTTATTTCTTTTGTCATTTTATCTGCGTGTGGCCAACGGAAAGTTTTACTTCTACTTTTCCTCTTCGGTCTACGGCTGCGACAACGACTGAGGCTTTGTAATGGCCAGAAATTGAGGCATTCGCCTGAACTGTCTTCCGCATTGTTGCCAAATGCAATTGGCTAAAAAATAGAATAGCGAACGGCATTTTCTGTAGCTGCTGTCGAGCAGACTTTGATATGGGTTTCAGCAAATTGATGCTGTTTCGATTGAGAATGCAAACCAGAGAAAGGTTAAAGAGTCAGTGAGGGGGAGGTGGGGAGGGAGAAAAAGGAGTATAACGAGGTGAGTGAGGAGGGTGGGGAGAGAAAGCAGAGACAGAAGAGAATGTAGAGTAATGAAAAAGACGAGAGAAGAGAGACGAGTGAAAGAAATAGCGAAGAATGTAAAGAGAATGGGGAGGGAGAAAAGAATAAGGAGACAGGAGATACGGGAGACACGGGAGAGGCGAATATGAAGGGAGAAACGCGAGAACTTTTGAGAATGGCGAGGAAGAGACAGATAAGAGAATGGGGAGAAAGGATAAAGGATAGTGAAGACAGTCGAGAGACGGGAGACAGTTAGAAGATAATGCAGAGAGGAGACGAGGGATGGGAGATAGAAGAAGCAGAGCGGATAGTAGACGCACTGATGAGAGAACGAAAAGGAATAGTAGCGATAAAGGACGAGGGAGCTGAAGGATAGAGCAGATATAAGATAAATGAAAATGTGGTGTGAGAGCGAGATAAAAAGAGATAAGCTAGAGAAGAGAGAGAGAGGATATTAAGAACAGAGTAGAGAGACAACCGACGAGCGATGAGAGACTGCAGCCTGAGAGCAGCGACGAGCGTTGCGATAAGAGAGGAAGGGAAGAAAGGAGAGAGTGGGGAAAGGAGAAGACTCAGGCATGGGTACAGGTTGAGCTGGAACTAAAGGTAAAGTTAGAAGGAGAACCTAAGTACAGTCAAATGGAAGCTGCGGTGGAGGCCGACTAAAAATTAGAGCAAAAAGGCATGCAGCTGCATATGCATAGCCAAAGGTAGAGCTTGAGGAGCTAGAAGAGCTAGCTGAATCTAAAGAGTAAAAGTTGTTCATTTTATGCAACTGCAGCGGGCAACTGAAACGGGCCACTGCAACAGCAACAACAGCAACAACAGCAACTGCAACTGCAATGTAGGCCAACAAGTGCGTTGAACTACAAATTGCTCTTTTCTATTATTCTATAGAGCAAGGAATGCATGGGCGCAGGCAGCTCTCAGCCAGTTGCAGCCAGCTAAAGTTTGGCCAGATGTAACACATAAAAAAATAGAAAGAAAAACTCACACATAGAGCCAGAAAATTTTGTGGCCAAGTCGAAATGTGATTGAACTTAAGGTGCACATGTGCATATCACGATTTTAATTGCCTCGGGTTAGCTCTGCTCCAAGATCTATTTACAGCTGGTTGAGGCCATGGCTAAGTCCTCTTGTTTGTGATTGTCAGAGGAGGCGGAGCAAAGGCAGGCAAAGCGATTTGTGGCAAATGGCAAATGTATTTATCGATTGCGTGTGCTAAAATGTTTTTAACGTGCTTTCCTCTGGACACTCAGCAGCGCCCTCAGCCAGGCCAGCCGAGCAGCCCGCAGTGCCGCCTCGCTGCTGCTCGTTTTGGCTGCTTGCCAGTTAATCTAAACTTCTGCTGCTGCTGCTGCTGCTGCTGGCAGCCCTTGTGTATAGTGGGCACAGTGGGGCAAGTGAGGCAACTTTTGCGTAGATATTCGAAAATAAAATGGAAAATTTAAGAAAATTTCAATTGTTGTCAATTCCTCTAAATTTCCACTAAAAACAATTGAAATTTTCCATTATCTTTAATGTAATTATTGGAAATAGCTTCACTTGGCGCACTTTTCAAATTGCTAACTAATGTATGGGAACTGGATAGCGGAGCTATATCATATGATTCATATGCTATCTATCGTATACTATGCTACATATATAATCGGAGTAGATATATAATCACAGCAACTATCACAGTTTTCTGCTTTATAGCATATTACCTTAGCTATCTAGCTAGTCTGTCTACTATAACTAGCTAGCATAGCTATCTACAAAAAATACCTCTCATTTCTGGCCACAAATCAAATCACATTATATATTTATCGTCGTTATCTAGAGCAACTATTTATTATAGTTTAGATATGAACTATACCTATATCTCTTATACTGTGGTTGATATATAATCAGAGCTACTTTTTATCATGTCTATCTAATATTTCTGCCTCTGAATTCTAGCTGAAACAACTAACTCTCGTTAGCTAGCTAGATCTATCATAATTACCCAGTATTAGCTATCATAACTGGAGTATTATATTAAAGCAGAACATAGTCTAGTCTAAAAATTCTATATAAAAAATCTGCATATCCGATTGGAATCTTCTTGGCCTTGTGCCGGCTCTGAATAAAAACTGAAGTTTCTTTTTTTTTTTTTTTTTAATTCTCTATATTATCTATAATTCTCTTTATTAGGCACATATTTCGCATTTTACTTAAACTCGAGCATGGTAATTGCAGCAACATTTTAGCTATACGGCCCACTGTGCAACGTTTATATAGCTTTGGCAGCCATTTTACTGTTGCCTCGGTAGCTGCTGCTGCTTCACGTATAATGAGCAGAGTCCTTGTTAAAGGAGTGAAAGAGATGGATAGAGAGTAAGAGAGAGTCTTCTTCAATATTCGATATGTTTTTCCTAGTTGTAGTTGGGTTTTCCTTTCCTTCGGTTTTCTTCTGCTGCATTCAAAATGGGATTTTTACGAGTTAAGTTTTTTGCGTTGTTGTCTGAGCTGTTCCTTTGTGGCCAACAGGGCGTGTCTCTGGACGTGTCTCTTCCCTCAAAATGTACTTATCTGCATGTATATAATGTGTCTGTGGATATATATACCTCTTGCTTTTGTCAGTCAACAAAAATGTCAAAACACCTGGTTTGTTGGCACACGATTCACAGTTCACGATTCGCGATTCGCGATTCAGGCGATATTCGCGATACGATATGCATATGTGTGTTGTATGTGAGTCGGCTGAAATAGTCCAAGTGTCCGTGATGTTTGCATATAGCCGCTATATACACACACCGTATGCCTCTGCGGCTGTCGGATTTCAAATAGATTTCGTTGCAGTAAACGTCGAGTGAAGTCGAATTTCATTTCCGTTTAGCGAGTTGGCAAAGTGGGCTAAATGGCCAAAAGCAAGGACTCTCAGTTGGCAGTTGGCCTCGATGCAAGTTTCGTTTTGGCTAAAACTCCATGCACAGGCACAGGCACAGGCAGAGGCAGAGGCAGAGGCAGAGGCACCCATAGTGCCTGCCCTGTTCTGTGTCGAATTTGTATACTAGAAACAGAATGCATAATTTGCCGCTGCTGGCAGAAAACTCATAAATATCATTTCTATACGCTCAGCCAGAATGAAAACAAAATATAAATAAATATCTATGTATATAGACAACTTTGTGACTGTACACACACCAAACACACACACTCACACACACACACAGAGACATACATATATGTGAGTGTAGTTGGTGCAGAGAAACTTACGCATTGGAAGCAAAACAAAATTATTTAAAAATAGAAAAAAGTACCAAGAAATCAAAATCGAAATCAAAAAGTGCAGTGTGAAAAGCAGAGTCAAAGCGTCATCGTCGTCGATCGTCGCAAAGACAAAAGAAAAAAAAGAAAAATAATAATAATAATAATAATAATAATAATAATAATAATGAAAATACAAGAAAACTGAAAACAAAAACAAATTCTATAAAGCTAAAGTGTGAATCCGATCAAAGGAATGAGCCCTTAAAGAGCAAGGGAGAAGGGGAGCGAGTGACTATAACTATAAATAAGAACAGCGCCAAGCAAGTTGGCAACAAGTGAAGTGAAGTAGCAACCCGAAGCAGCCACATCGATTGGGTCTTTTGTCCCTGAGACTGCGTTGGTCCAACGTAACGCCAACAACAGTCCAATATACCAAAAATAAAATCGACGCGGGCAGCAACAAAAGCTGCGAGCAACAACAGTCAGCAGCGGGCAACATCTGCTGCGGCAACATTTTAGAAACTACAAAAACAGCAGCAACAAACGAAGGCAACATTTGTCGTAGCAACACGAGTCTCTCCCGGCAACACCAACAGCGCAACATTTGCTGAGAACATTGGGCAGGCGCATAAAGCTGGCAACATTTGCTGAGAAGCTGCAAAACGGGACTAGCAACATTTGCAACGGCAACATCTGGAGCTGGCAACATTTGCTGTGAAGCTGCAAAACGGGACTAGCAACATTTGCAACGGCAACATCTGGAGCTGGCAACATTTGAATAGCAACTTGGCTACAACGATAGCAACAGCAGCTGGCAGCATTTGAATAGCAGCTACAACGATAGCAACAGCAGCTGGCAACATTTGCTGCAGCAACATTTGAGTAGCGCCTTTGCAACTCGATGTTGTTGCTTTTGCTTGCTTTCATTATGAGATTCGTAGACATTTCCAAAATGCAACGGCGTCAACGCTGCACGTCGTGTGCCAGCGCTGGCATTGAATGCCCGCGCAGCAACAAAAACAACAACAACAACAACAACAGCTGCAGCAACAACAGCTCAACTGCTGATGCCAATGGCAACACGCAGTGCTGGCAGCATGTGCCTAGCGCAAGCAACAGCAGCAGCACCAGCAGCGGCTGTGATAGCAGCAGCTCCTCCAAGGAGAACTACTATGCTTCGCAGCAACAGCAACAGCAACAGCAGCAACAACAACAGCAGCAATATTACAACAACAATGGTCTAACGGCACAGCAACTGCAGCAGCTGCGCTACTATCAATGCATGCAACAGCAACAATTGCAATTGCTGCAACAGCAATTGTTGCAGCGTCGTCGATTGCAGCAGCAACTGCGCGACCAGGGCGTCAATGTATGCAAAGCAACAACAACAACAACAACAGCCGGACTCACCTGTAATCAGCAATATTTGATGCAACAGAGGCAGCAGCAGCAACAATATGTTGCTAAGTACAACAACAATAACAACAACAACAACAATGAACAGGACAAAAGCCACAATCTAAACAACATCATCATCAACAACAACAACAACATTCGTATTGGCCCAAATGTGGCTCAAGGTGCGCAGTCTTAGCCCTAAGTCTTTGTCTTTGTCTTTAAGTCAATTCCAATTTAATTTTGTTTGTTCGCCTTTGAACTTGTTTCTCGGGGCCTCTGCAAATCATTTGCTCAGCCAAAGAGCTCGGCCAATATTATTATTTCTTGCTCAAATTGACTTTACTCAACGAGTGCTGCGGAGTCTCTTGAGACTTTCCTCAATTGAAACGTAATTGGCATTAATAACGAAAAAGTGGACTTTAAGTGAATTCCTGCTCCGTTAATTAATCTCGAAGCGCAAACTGCAGTCGCCTGTTGCTACAGAGATATTGTATATAATATGATATAAGAGCTTAATATACATATATGCACAAAACCCCATTGGAAATGCAAATTCATTTCATGAAATTGAAGCACACAGAAAGAAGCATAACAAACTCTTTAAGAAGTGCGCGCGTATATTCTGGTTAAGCTGAATAGATCTAGCTATGTCCGTCAGGCCTCAGGGTATTTGCTAGTCGGGCATACTCAAGTAGAGCATGTGAATGGTCTGTTGACAATTGAAAAGTTGAGTCTAGTTAAGTTCGTTAAGATTCAGGGCATCTCTTAGTCTGGCACTACCGAGTAGAGCCCTTTTATTTGTTAAATTGCTTCTAGGTAAACTTGGGTAACAGAAGTAAGATGTTCTCATATATATCCACATACTTGGTATTCAGTTTGGTGCTATAAAAATTTCATAACGATCGTACCACTAGAAGCTGAGTTCAATTAAGTTATTTTCCCCTTTATGGGTAGCTGTAGGCGGATCAAGCACAGCCACCGCTTAAAGTAAGCTGTAAATGAAGCGTGTGCTCATCTAAGTGGGTGTTTACTTATGTAGATATGTATATATGGGCACATCTTTCTCTCGGAGTATGCATAGACAGTAAGTCTAAATGGATTCCTACGTATCTCTCAGTCGGGGAAATCTTAATTAGCTCATGGTTTGTTTATATATTTCTTACAAAATGGCAGCTGGTTCAATTGTCTTATCTGCAAAGGTAATCAAATGTGCTCAGCACACGAGATATCTTATGTGTATGTATCATAGATCTTTCATAAGTCATATAATAATGCAGTTGCTCTGATATGTTGTGCTCTATTTATCCTTATTGAATTTTCGTTTGAGTTGTCGCTGCCTTCTCGAAATAGAAATCACCTCGTGTCACGCAAGTCTTCTTCTTCTTCTTTCACCTGGCCCGCTCTAATTGACTTCACCTCTGCAGTTGCATGTGCAACGCTCTGAATGCCACAGCACCGGCTCCACATTTAATTGAGAGCAGAGCCGAGTCAAGTTGGAGTTTCTTCGGCCCGGGTCATGGCGCTTGTTGTCGCTGCTGAGTCATAAAACTTGATTTCCATTAGCTGCCCGAATCGTTATGCCCAAATAAGCTAATTGAGGGAGGGAGCAGGAGAAAAGAACGCGCGGCATGCTAATGCGCATTAACTAGAAGCTATAAATGTTCCATAGACTATAAACTATAAAATCAATTGATGAGATATAGATAGATATATATATATAGATAGATATAGATGAGATATAGATATAGATATAGATATAGATATAGATATAGATATAGATATAGATATAGATATAGATATAGATATAGATATAGATATAGATATAGATATAGATATAGATATAGATATAGATATAGATATAGATATAGATATAGATATAGATATAGATATAGATATAGATATAGATATAGATATAGATATAGATATAGATATAGATATAGATATAGATATAGATATAGATATAGATATAGATATAGATATAGATATAGATATAGATATAGATATAGATATAGATATAGATATAGATATAGATATAGATATAGATATAGATATAGATATAGATATAGATATCTCCAACAGATTTCGACTTATTCCAATTCCTTTTACTATAGATCTTACTTATATTTCACCTCTATTCATTCCTCGATTCGCTCTCTTGCAGGTACTCATTTGCGACGTGGTATGACAGACATCTCAACAGCGAACGACATCAACAATTTCAGCAACATCAAGCGCCATATCGAACACCCATTCACCTCGCCACAAAGTTCACCCACAACTCACAAACCATACGCCAAAACTAATATAAATCAAACGCAAATCAATTTGAATTCACGCTTAACCCAGCAGCAACAGCAACAGCAACAGCAACGGCAGCAACAATCGTCGAGAGTCGGGGGTAAGCAATACAACGGCAACACGGCTGCATTCAATACTAGTTTGGCCAACGCCAGCGGCCCAGGCTCGGCCCCGCAGTCCCCGCAGCACTACCGCATCCCCCTGAACAGCCCGAACAACTCGCTGTTCACGCTAGCCCATGCGACGGCCGGCAGGCAGCGGTACAAGCAGCAGCAGCTGAACGACCGCCTGCTGCAGCAGCAGCACCTGCAGCACTGCCAGCAGCAGCAGCAGCAGCAGCAGTGCAATGAGGAACTGAGCGAGGAGAGCCTCAAGCAGAATGTGGCCATCGTCCTGAGCAACTTGGATCGCTACAACAGTGCGCTGCGCAGCATCATACTGAACGAGCAGGTGAACCACATCAGCAGCAACAGCAGCGACAGCCTCTTTCTGCTCGACAACATCGCCGAGCCCGACAACAACAACATCTCAGTGAGGAGCAGCGCCATGGCAGCAACAAATGTGGCGGCTGTGCTCACGCCCGAATCGGATTACAACAGCAATGCAACAACGCCGGGGTCACAGCAGCAGCAGCAGCAACAGCAACTGCAGCAGCAGCAGCAGCAACTGGGGGTAGGTGGTATGCTTTGTGGTGGTGGTAACGGTGGTGGTGGTGGTGTCGGTGGTGGTGGCAACAATCTCAACTGTTCGCTGGCCTCGTCGCAAGACTTTACTCACGACAATTCCGATTATCAGTGGTTCCTCGACTACGGCTATCGGGATGGCTGCGGCGGCATGCAGCGCAGCGTGCTCAGCTCGCTGTCGGCCTCGTACAATGCCATGGGCGACTTCTTCTACTACGAGGATCTCAAGAACCTGGACGCCAATCTGGCCGAGGTGGACATGGAGAGCTTTCGGGCGGAGGACATACACTCGCTGCTCTCCCAGCTGCCCGCCTACTGCAAGAGTTTGGGCGGCGCCAACAGTCGCCTGCAGCAGTCGCTGCTCTACCAGCAGCAGCAGCAGCAGCAGCAGCAGCAACAGCAGCAGCAGCAGCAACAACTGCAGCTGCAGCTGCAACACAGCAATATGATGAGCAACATGCAGCACATGGCACACAACATGTCGCAGACCTCGACCACGTCCACGAACGAGCTAATTGACAATTCATTCTGCAAATCGGAGCTGCTCTTCTCGCCCGTCAAAGAGTCGCACATATCGGTGGACTCGCTGGACATGGACGCCTACCCGGACGAGGGCGACATCATCTTCACCTGCAACAAGGACAACTACACCATCGCCTTCGAGGGCAGCGTCCTCTACTCGGACGACAGTTTCTATGGTAAGCCTCTGCCTGGTGTTATTCAATGTGGCAATCCGACCTCACTGCATTCTCCATCTGTTCACAGCGGAGCCCTGCGACATCGCCGCCAGGAACAAACAGAACTGCATCAATCTGCACAGCAATCTGGACGACATCGTGAAGCGCAACAAGGCCCTGGAGGTATCCATGTCACGCTCGGCCCAGTCTTTCCAGCTGCCCTGCAAGTCACCAAAGACGCCGACTAAAGCTCAACTACAGCGGTGAGGCAACGCAAGCATACAGACAGCAACACAGTGCATGTACAGTGAAAACTGCTGTGAATGGACAGTCGAAACTCTAGTAGATTTCTTGCTGGCGAATTCGTTAGGCGCTCAGATCTGTTTGTAGTTTCAGGAAATCATTACCTTGTAAGATCGTTAAAATTGTCTGTGATGTGCAGGGCATAGACTCTCATAGGAGGGTGAGGGTATAGGGTGTAGGGTATGCAGTGCCCCAACGTACTCTTTGTCTTTTACATAGAGTCAATCACGTTAACTCATCTCTCCTAGATACCACAGTCGATTCTAGCTCATAAATCCTCCTTGAATGTCTTGAAAGTAGAATTGGTGTTTATGTTGGAGGATTTCAAATATACCAAATATAGTCTAGAATGTCTTTAAAATCAGTTGGGATCAGTCCATATTAGATAGTTTTATAGTTACTAAATACTCTTGGCCAATAGCTCAAGTTGAAGGGGTAAACCAATAGTATAAAATTTCCATTATATTTAGGGGAATTATTATTAAAGAAATTCCATAGATTAACCCTATGCAAGGGCGTGGAATATAAATGTGGGCAGAGGGTTTCACATAGGGTTGATTTCTGGAATTTCCGTAAATATAATGGGAATATTTGACTATTTGTACACAAAATATGTTGCATCGATTAGACTAGTGCGGTTGAGGGCAATAATCGAGCTGTTCGTTCACGGAGGGATCACTGTATGTGCACTTACCCAATCACACACTCACACACCCTCAGATTGGTTTTTGACTGTCGAGCCACGCATGGCGGATGTCTGAGTAAACCCACTTTGCGCTGTCCCCTTTTTCCGACTTTGCTGCGAATGCAGGCCGCGCTGAGAGGTCATTTCAATTGATTTCAATTGGGTTTCACATTCATGGCAAGCAAATTGACGCTCGGCTGCGAGAGGCATGCGAAAATAAACAGAGCTCGAGTGGGACAAACGTTTCCAAAGATAGAGACAGAGAGAAAGTAGATTAGGAAAACCTGAATAGAGAGAGAGAGAGAGAGAGAGAGAGAGAGAGATGCAGGCGCCAGGGGCAGGCGCAGGTAGTACCAGAACGTCCTTTGCTCGAGTCAAAAACCAATTTTCGTAAACTTCCCAACAAAAACAAAACAACAAAATTATAATGTGAAATGTTTGCTGTGTCTGCGCTGTGTAAAGACGCTCGCTTCTTCTTGTCTCGCCCGCGCGCAGGTATCCTTCGGGCAACAACAACAATGGCGGAGGAGGAGGAGGAGGCGCAGCAGGAGAAACCATTATACTCACACGCCATTTGCCGCAATGCAGCGTGCGCAAGAGCAACAGTCTACCGAATCTATCCAGCGAGCTGACGCTGAGCGAGGAGCAGCAGCAGCAGGAGGAGGACAAGCTGCAGTCGGATCATTCGGGGCCACTGAACGTCTCGCAGGCGATAAGTACCTCGACCATGGAATCGTGCTCGACGCGCTCCAGGAACCTGCTGCCCATGTGCCAGATGCCGATCTCAATCAGCGTGTCCGTCTCGGAGCGCCTGCAGGAGGCGGACGAGCGGCACAAGGATGGCACGCCCACGCCCACGCCTCAGCAGCAGCAGCAGCAGCAGCAGCAGCATACGCAGCATCATCATCATTCGCATCAGCATCGCCACAAGCATCGCTGCAGCTGCGCGCTGTCCTCCACGCAGGGCAGTCAGAACTTCTGCTCGAATGCTTCCCATGGCCACATCTCGGGCTCGGGCTCGGGCTCGGGCTCGGGATCCGCCTCGTCGGGTAATTCGAACCCGGCCGCCTTCAATCTAGTCAAGCTGTTCATCAAGCAGAAAAGCCACAACAGCAGCAGCAGCCACAGCAACAGCTGCGCCCAGGAGGAGAACCAGGCCTGCGCGCTCACCTGCATGGACGTCTCCTCGGGCTGCTGGCCGTCGAGCGACGCCGCCGCCTCCAGCTGCAGCAGCGGCTCCCTGGAGAAGCGTCTGCGCAAGAAGAGCATGCACGACTCGGGCAAGGGCTCGGCCGTGAGTCGCCACGACGAGGAGGACAACTACGAGGATGCCGACGCCGACGCCGACGCTGACGTCGACGGTGACGGTGACGGCGACACGGCGTCTACGCCCAAGCGACAGCTGCGCACGCGCTGCGATGCCGTGTTCTATGACGACGGCGCCAGCTCCAGCTCGACGGGCTCCTTGACGGCTACCAATTCGCCGGCGCATCGCCGCCGCAGCATGCCCCTGCGCAATCCGCAGCTCTATCAGCTGGCGGCCAGCTCACAGACCCAGGCGCAGGCGCAGACGCAGACGCAGTGCAGCCAGCAGTCGTCGGAGGCGAGCAACTCGGAGCAGCTGACCGAGGTGCCCATGCAGGCGGGAGGCAAGCCCAGGCGCGGCTCGAGCAATCGGCCGTTGTCGTGCGCCTCCAGCTCGGAGATGATCACGCGCTCGATGCAGACCTCCTGCGGCTCCCTCAGCACGACGCACAGCAGCCTGAGCGAGCGGTACCGGTGCGTGCCGCCCTCGTTCCTCGCCAAGCTGCACAACCTGGGCGAGCAGTGCGAGGCGCCCATCTACGTGATCTACCCGAACTACGCGCTGCCCGACCTGGGCTTCGTCAAGACCAGCAGCAGCAGCACCGACGTCATCTTCTCGCCCTTCAACTACAAGATGACGCTGGACAGCGCTGGCTCCGGTGGCGGCGCAGGCGCAGGCGGCAGCTCGACGGGCTCGCTGGGCAGGAAGCAGCGCAGCAGCCAGGGCGCCAGGGAGAACCAGAACGAGCTGTTCAAGACGCTCGACTACAAGCACATCGCCGACTGGCAGTCGCTGGTGACGCTGCTGCCCGCCGAGTACCGGCAGCGCCTGCAACACATTCCCGAGGTGCGCCAGATCACGAGCCAGCTGGAGGCGGAGCTCTCGCAGCGCCCGCTGTTCTGCATGTCGCCGCCGATTCGACGCAACCGGCCGAACATCTGCGACTGCGCCAAGAGCTTGCAGCAGACGCAGCTGGACGAGGCCTCCAGCTCGGGCTCTAGTCAGCCGCCCAGCTCCGGGTATCGCGGCTCGTCGACGCTGCTCACCGACTCGGAGGTCGATGCGGATCCCATGAAGCAGATGTATGTCTACCAGTACGAGCAGCAGCGCATGGACTCGGGCGCGGAGACGAGTCCTGCCAGCCGGCAGCAGCCGCAGCCGCAGCCGATGCCGCGCAGCATCCTGCGCAAGGCGAACTCGGCGCAAATGCGCACCAAGCGCAATTCCATGATCGAAGCCAAGCAGACGCAGCAGCTGTCGAAGCTGGAGAAGCGACGCAGCTTGCAGGAGCCGCCCCACAACTACGCCCTCGGCTCCACAGACGAGCTGGCCGAGGTCTTTGAGGAGGAGGAGCAGCAGCAGCAGCAGCAGCAGTCGGCAGCCAACGCAACGCAGCCAGCCAAGCAGCGACTATCGCGCAAGGATCTGGACGCACGGGCTCGAGCTGAGAGCTTCCTGGCCTCGCTGCCTCGCTCGGAGCTGAAGTATTACGCGGAGATAGCGGCGATTCTAGAGTCTTCCGGTGGGCAGGTGCAGTACGACGCGGCGGCCCTCAAGAAGGAGGTGAGCCGCGTGCTCAGCCAGCAGAAGAAGGTCTCCTTCAACGACGGCGCCAACTGCGAGGCCGAGCTGCAGCAGCAGCAGCAGCAGCAGCAGCAGGGGCAGCAGGCGCAGGCCAAGCGCTTCACGACGCCACCGAATTCTCCCAACATTTCCATAGCCGCGCTGCAGCGGCGCGAGACGCTCGACGTGCAGGAGCAGCGCAAGATCGAGAGCAATCGCTTCAAGCGCCTGCAGATCCAGTGGGAGCTCATGAGCAAGGACTCGAGCATGCTCAAGGAGCTGGCCAACGAGCAGGCCACCAAGAGCGGTGGATCCACGCCTACCTCGACGACCTCAGCCAATTCCAGCTCGGCGCAGAAGTCACGCATCCCACGGCCAGTCAGCTATCCGGCGGGCAGGTGAGTTCGCGTGGGGGAGACAAACTGAATTGGTTTTTCGAAATTATGATTTTTGGAATCTTTTTGCTAAATTTGATTTCTTCTTCTTTTCATTTGGAACATTTATCGTTTGGCATGATTTATGTTTGTGTTTTGTTTCCGTAAACCCCGCCGGGACCACAGAAGTCCGAAGCCAAGTGCCGCCTCGCCTGCGGCAGTCGGCCAGACTAAGCGAAATTCGCCTGCTAATGTTATCTCCCCACAAATCTGCAGAGTCAGCGCCGTGCACGACGCGGCCAGCAGTGGCAAGTGCAACACCCGATCTCCCAGCCGCATTGTGCAGCCGAAGCGGTACAGCCTGGCCACCACGCCCACTTCCTCAGCAGCGCCCGCGGCTGGACGAGCGCGCACCCCCACGGCACGCGGCGGCGTCGCCTCAGCGACCACACCCAGTACACCCAAGCGTCAAGTAGCTGCAGCAACGTCCAGGTGTGTGAGCAGGTGTTGAAGGTTGCTATCTAACGAGAGAGAGGGGCGGAGGTGAACCTGCAAAGATCATCGATCATTGATGAAGTGAACTGATTTGATTGTGATTTTAGTCAGACTTAATAGTTGGAGATGTTGGAGGAGTAAATTTGTCTGTCAGTTAAATGTAGTCTTATTCGACAGTTGTAAGATCACCTAGAATGTAAGCCAGATTTTCTTCTGAGTTCCATTTTGAGATCCTTAAAGATGATGTGAGATGATAATCATTCAAGTCAATAATATTATGAATTGAAGAGCAGAAGTATAATTCTCTTAGCTAAACGTCTAAATATCATCTAAAATCTAGATCAACTAACTTGACAGAGTTTCTAAGATCTTTTCAAAGATCAAGATAATATCAAAAAGATTTGAACTTCTTTATACCAAATGAAAATATTCTGATTGGATCTGATCCTCATTTAAGCTTAAGCTGATATTGATCAAATAACCGAAATTGATCGGCAGTTAGTACAGTCTGATTTTAAATGAATCTTCAGAACTGGACCTTTCGCACTTAGGTGGGTTGTACGAATGGAACAAGAGGAGAGAAAGGAGAATTGCTAAAATTGAAATCAAGTCTCAGCGCCAATCTCGTTATGTAAAAGCCTCAACTTACAATATAGAAAATCTCAGCGAACTTTACTAACTTCAAATTTCTTGCAGACCCACATCGCGAGTACGTTAACAATGGAAGCGCTAGATGGAAGCCAAGCGACCTTAACGCAGCAAGGGCGTGGCACGCGTTTAACAATATCCAAAACCAAGTCAAGCATAATGCGAGAAAAACAAGAAAACAACAATGAAACATTGTATAAAAAATATATATAGATTAAGGCTTTGCGCGGCTCTTTTGCTTAGACAACTGGCCACTGAACAGCGCCCGGGTAGAGTGATACCAGAGAGACAGAGTTAGCTCAAAGTAAGATCGGGTAGATCGGCTGATTAGGAAACGGGTGCGCAGCAGCGGTCAGTCGCAAGTGCTAAAGTATTTTTGATTGACTTTTAAGTTCAAGTGCAAGCAATGGCGGAGGTAGCTAAATTTTCTTTTTAATTTCCTTTTTGACAATTATACAAGACATAGATGCCAATATGCAAATCTTTTGATGTATATATATACACACACACACAGACTCACACACACACTCACTCATTCAGACACACGCAAACTTAAAAGTTATTTCCATTTAGCTAATCAAAAAGAAACGATAAACATATTTATGACACACAAATTTATACCTATATAATATATATATATAGAGGGAGAGAGCAGGATGTACGTAATGCTGATTATACAAGTACATTCTGGGAAAAAGAGAGCGCGATAAGCGAAAGAGAGAGAAGATGTGTAATGCTCAAATCGATGATTGAGGCAAAAATTACTATAATTATGCCTGAAAGCAAAGAATAATAATATTTATTACACAGGCCAACAAAATTTAAAGAAATATCATAATCAAGCAGCTGATAATACTTTCCAGAAGATCTTTGACTGAGTAAAACCTTTGATATGAGCGTATTTCGAGTTAAGCGAGCTAAACACTCAGTATCTGAATATGAATTTATTTTGCGTAAAGATCATTTTGATAACTGAACCTACTGCTCCTCATCTATAAATCGACTTTTACATTTTCAAAAAATCTTTTAATATCACTGAAATATCATCTATTGAATTTACTAATCAACTCTAGTCCATAACATCTTTTTTCCCTCCTTAATCCCTTCAAGTCTTACTCAGTAGTTGAAATATTTTTGATAAAACAATTTGTAAACAGTTTATGTAGTTCTTTCAGTTATCGAAATGATCTTTAAGAGTAAGAAATATCTCAAGAACTATAAGAGATGTATCTCAGCCAGTTTGATTCATGATTACCGTCAGTCAAGAGAATTCTGGAAAGTAATGTTTGATTCATGTACTCAGATATCAAATGCATATTATTTGGCCTTTTACAACACTGAGTAAATCAATTTCTACATTGCCTTTAAGATATTTAGCGAAAGACACTTAAGACACACAGACAGATAAGCCGCTTAGCAATTTTGTATATCTGACGATGATTTTGGATTTTGGTTTTTACTTTGAGTTTATTGTGTCTGCTTTTTGCTTTGCCTAAGCCTAAGTTCACGTGATTTCAAATCGTACGATTTAAGATTGTACTCTATAAATACGCCTATATTAATTACGCCTGCTATGATTTGTACTTCAAGCTGACTAGAAACAAAAAGAAGGAAACTCTTGCTATTCTTAATTACTGGAAGACATAACTTTAGTTTAAGCCTTACATTTAACCAACTTTTGTATCCTTAATTGTATAGACATTTTTATTGTATATCATATTTACAAGCAAAAGAAAACATAATGTATTTGTGGGTGAACTGTATCATGGAGAAGGATATGCGGGAGAATTAAATATATATATATATAAATAAATATATATTATAAATAATGCAAAAAAGAAAAGAAAAAGAAACAAAAAAATGTATAAAACACAAATTCAATAAAAAATATTAATAAAGAAAAAGTATTATCAAAATCAAACCTAGAATTTTGTTGATTTTTCAAAATTTTAATCTAATGATATGAAATCAACTGATGATTGAATATTGCTATTTTCTTATCCTACTTATCCTATTATTACCTGTAATTGTAGTAATCATTCATTAAAAATTGATAATCGGCATATACATTCTGTATCAGGACGACCAGCCGGAGGGATATCTTCCGTCCGTGCGTTTTTCCGTACGTCTGACAGTTCATATGCCTGCCTGTCTGCTCGAACCTAGGCAGCTATTTCGTAACCCCCAACAACTAGATATCTGAAATTTTATAATCATATTTCAATAATTTTTTTTTTTTTTTTTTTTTTTTTTTAACATAAGTTTTTATTGATAATAATATATATTAAGATTCTGCATTTAAACGTAGCTAGAAAACCAATAAATCTACCATGAAGATTTCTATGAAGAGTACACAGATTTTGATGTTTTCTGATTTTGTTTAGAAAAGCAAAATCAATATCTAATGCTAGAGACGTATGTTGTGATAATAACTGTTGTTCTTGAAATCTTGATTAGGATTATGACTATGAGATTTCCTATGGTAAAGCGCTACATCAATGGGTAAGTTACTAAAATATCATTATATGTGTATGTATATGGGTGAATGTTATGAGTGCTTAAAATAAGTTTAGTCTGAAGAGCACATTAGCTGTGTGTAGGATAAAAGCACTAAAGCACTCTCCCCCTTTCTCTGACTCACTTTTAATTAGATATTTGATATGAACGATTTTTTATGCATATAGATAAGTTATTAACAGGTATGTATGTCACTTTTACGCCTAGTTGGCTGAGGAATAAATTTTAATAATACTCAAATATATCGAAACTCGTTTAGCTCACGGGAAATTCGGTAGAGTTCGGTTGACGGTAAAGCACACTTGTGCCCTAAGTTGGGTAGTTAATTTTTCAAAATGCCTTTAAAGTTTTATAGCTAACAATTAAAATACATTGCTACCTTTACACACACACGTGCACACACACACACACATTGTGCTTAAAGTATATTTACAATTATACGCACTGTAGGCACAGGCAGAGGCAGAGGCAGAGGTAGAGGCCTAGGCCCGGGCACAGGCAAAGGCATCTTTATTAAACTTCGTTGTAATTACAACAACATGTGTTGTGCTACTTTTAACTATGTGAGTATGTGTGCGTATGTGTGTGTGTGTGAGTGTGAGTGTGGGTTTGCATACATTTGCCTAATTAAATAAAATAATGTTAACGCAAAAGTTGCAGAGAGCGCGAGAATTTGCCTTGCGCCTTTTTCTCAGCTCTCGGCTCACATTTGACTTCAGCTTGCAAAAGAAATTCGCGTAGCTCGACTAGCAAATACCCTGTCTGCATATGTATGCTGTCTTCATATGGAGAGGGTATGTAATTACGGTCATTTGCTATTTATATGAGTGTGTGTGAGTATGTGCTTTGTGCGATTGTGTGTGTGTGTGTGTTTGACAACACTGTCAAACAAGTTTTCTGGGGGAAATTGTTAAAAAGTGTGAGGCTGAATGAAGTCTTTGCTGTAAATTTCGAATAATTTCTGGGCTGTGGGGTAGGCATTGTATTGATGATACTCCTGTGCCTCACTTGGGATCAGAAGAGGTCCCTGCACTCTGAATACTCAGATTACTTTTGACAGCTGATTTGCTTGGAATATGGAGCAAGTATGGCGTAAATCTAATATGATGTAATTTTTTGTGGTTCCTCAAAACTCGAAGGAGCGATGCTTCGATTGAGGAAATGACAGCCTCACCGAGACCACAAACTAGATCCCAACCGAAAGATATTATGAGTTCATGCTTTCAGCATGGGAAATACTATCAGATAGTGATAACTTTGATGAGCTCAAAATAGATATGAATAAATAAGTAATTGTTCAAAAAAATTAGAAATAGTTAAAGTGTAATATTAATTCTTGAATTTATAAGAAAAGATTGATCTTTCAAGGAGCCATAAAATGTTTCAACTCCTAGGTATACTTCAATCACTCTACTTAAATTTTCTTATAGAAGGCAAGTCACATCAAATCGTCACACCTGATCGACTGTAGTCAAGTTAAAAGAAGTTCAGTATCTAGCCAAAAGGTTGAAACTTGAATCCTCAGCTATATTCACAAAATTCTGTATTGAGAGAAAGCCAAGAATAAAATTCAGAGTCTAGCTAAAACTATGTGAGTCGCTGCTGCAGCTGTCGCATTCGAACAGAAAGAAAGCGTAATTATGTTAAGCAGTGTAATTATCGTTAGGCAGTGCGAATTTCCCTCTCACTCTCACTTTCTCATTGAGTGTGTGTGTTTCTCTCACTCCATTGCAAATACATACTGTGCGTGGGTTGAGTGGGCTTCTGGCTGAAGAGTTTTTGGCTAACTGTGTTAAGGCTTTCAGCCAGTTGTTGAGTAAATATTTAGCTGAGAAAATTCACTTCGAATTTGTTGGCCATTAAGTTTGCTCATTTTCCGTTGGTGTTGCTGCTGTTGTTGCTGCTGCGACTGTTCCAACATCAATTTGCATACAAAATTGTTGTTTTATTATTGCGGCATTTGGCAAATACAATTTAAAATTTTGATTAATTTGCGGCTGCGAGCAGAAAAGAATAAGCCAACTTCAATGGCGGCCTACCAGTTACACAGTTAAGCCAAAACTCGGTCACATACACATACATATATTGCTGTCAAACGAAAAGCAAAAGTGCATAAACTATGCAAGGAGCAGGCGGAGTAGCAGCAGCTGGAGCATGAGGAGCAGGGGTAGCAGGGGGAGCGCCGCAACTTGGAGTTTCTACAATATTTGCATTGAAATATTTTTCGCAAAAATAATTACATGCACATGGCCCAGAAGCAGGCAGGAGGCAGGGGGCAGGAGGGGGCAGAAAGGCAGCGGAACTAACGGGGCAGGACACGGCGCTGTTTATGACTGGAGACAGGAGACAGCAGACAGGAGACAGCAGACATGGCACAGGCGACCGCTGCACGAGCTTTTCTGCGGCTTTGTTTTTTCGGCTTTTTGCTTTTGTTGTTTTTTGGCAAATGTCAGGACACGACACGGCTCGACAAAGCCAAATGGCAAAGAAAACTTCTGTTGTCGCTGTCGTGGCTTGTTGTTGTGGCATCTGCTGGCTTCCCTACAACTTTTTTGGTTGGGGGGCGCCTGCGGACACGCGATGCATAACCGAAAAACCCAAAAATGGAAACTGAAAACTGAAAAACGAAAACGGAAAACTGAAAACCGAAAACCGAAAACTGAAAACGGCAAACAGTAAAAGCGAAGCAATGAAAGCTCACATAATAAAATGCAATTGATATTCAAAAGCGAAATTGCAGAGAACAGGGCAAAACAATACAATGCGAGCCGCCCACTGTGCGCGCAGGGGCGGCTGATAAGGGCACGAATTGGCCTGCGGCGAATTTGCGCGCCTGCGGCGAATTGCGCCAGAGGGGCGCCAGCTGCCAGCTGCCGGCCGCTTGGTGGCAGCAGCGCATGCTCCTCTGTCGCTACGGCGTGTGGCGCGTCGCCTCGGGCGAGTGCCGTTACACGTGGGGACTGCCTCCTGCCTGCTGCCCGTTGGTGCGGCGAATTTCACACGGCTACCGTTAAGGCCTGACCTAGTTCAACACACATGTGTTTGTGTGTGTGCGTGGATTGGCTTGGCCCGCTTCGCTGGCTATTTGCGCTACGGTTTCTTCTGTCTTTTTTTTGTGATTTTGTTTTTGTTTTTGGCCAGCATTTTATGGGGGCTCGAATGTGCCGTTATTGTTGCATGCCATTTCTGTTTGTTCTGTGTGTGGTTTGATTTGATATTTGCAGCACCTGCAGCTGCAGCTACAACCGCATGCCTGCATATTGATTGATGGCCCTACGCTGCCTCTGGCCTAATGGCCGCCGCACTTGGCCACAAAATTAGACAACGTTGTTACTAGCCAACTTTAAAAGTTCATTGAAAAGTGCGCGACCGCCACCGCCGCTACTGGCAGTACCCTGCCACCGGTTCCCGGCCCCCGGCCCCCGGCCCCTGCAGTTTTCAATTTTGTCCCGCTACGGGGGCTCTCGGCCACAAAATATGCAAACAATTTTCAATTAAAAATCAATTTTATGCTTCAACTGCAGCTAAGTGCAAAATGGCCAAAATGAAGGTGGCTCACGAATCGCGCAAATATTAAGCCAAGTTAATGGCCCCACCACATGCCGAACTTTTGGGACGGCTCCTCGTCTCCTGCTTTGGGTTCGTCTTCAGCTTTAATCAGCGCCAATATTGTAATAAAAATTGAAGATAACTAAGTTTTTCGGGCCAACAAGAAGTTTTCGCAACTGAACTGACAAAGATGCACGAATTTGCATTTAATTTTCAAGTCGTTTTATATAATATACCCTGGAGAAAATGAGATAATGGGTATATAGATCAAAACAACTATGTATAAGATAGGCTGAAGATGAAGTGGGTAAAGCGTAAATAGTATATCTACATTATATAATATAACAATAACAATATCTACATTAATCTAATGATTGACAACATGAACAGAGTTGATTAAGTCATATTAATGTGCTTTTCCGCCTGTATGAACGAGTCGATCTCGAGAACTACAAAAGCAGTCCAGCTGAAACTTGAAATATATATTATTGAGCCTTATATACTGCATACAATAATTCGCTTTATTTGATGCCAGCAACTATAATCCTTTCATCGGTAAGTATCGATACTTTGAGTTGGTTATGCATAACTCAAATACTATTTGAATTAGGGAAATCAAATTTGGTATATAGACTCCCGTAATGAAGAAAAACTTTCTGCTTTGGTATGCATACGC